GAAGAGCCTTGGGAAGAGTGAAACAGGACAAAGACCAAAGCTATCTATACTTTCAGTTACATACAGGCTGGGTAAAGGCAGAAGATTGTTGGCCTCCTCTGTCCAAAATGCTAAGCATGGGTTGTGAAATGACTGCTCTTTAAGCCCACCAAAATGGATACCTAGAGTCTCACATTTCTGTTGTCTAGTGACAAGCAAAAATTTAAGCCAAGTTCTCCCTTTCTTAAGGTACTGAGGAAAAGTAAAGTGAGACCTTGGCAGGCTAGAAGAGATAGCCAAGACATGGAGGGGTTTGATGGCTCCAGAATCAATGAACTGGCAAAGAAAAGTTCATATAAAGTACATTTAGCTGGTGTGGAGCTATTTGGGAGCTCTCACCAACTGGATTTCTGAAATCCCCTAGCTCCCATTGATCTGCCTGGTGGCCCAACACTGACCTTCCTGAGCCTCTTCTAGAATCCCACCAGCTGATTATTGAAAATACGTTCTTTAAAGCTCAATCCCCTTCTGTAAAAGAAACCCTGTTGTACTCAGCATGCAGAACAATGCCATAAACACTTGAGAACTTACCCTCACCTTAGCTTCATTTGTTTGTTTTGTTGCCTGAGGGAAAGTGTCCCAAATCTGTTTGCCTGACAACCTTCAACAGCATTCATATTTGCTTCTTATTTTGCTGGCTGTCTTCCTTGTCCTCAAGTAAAGGCATTGGAAAATGAATGGCTGAATCAGTATCTCATTGCTTTGCCCTGAGATAAGAAAGGCAACTTTTTTTTTGTGGAGCTTCAGCCAACTGGCTGTCCCTGCTCCTCTCTGTCTTCAGAAAGCAGAGGTGCATGCTTGGGGTGGGGAGAGAGGAGGAGATGGGAGAAAGTTTCCCCTCAGATGGATTCCAGTGACTTGAACAGATAAAGGGCCACAGCTGCTTCACATTTAATTGGAAACAGCCAAATTGCAAGATCAGTCCCGGAAGCACCTGTGTCCATGATGACTCTATTGTTACTGGGTTCTCAGAATTGGCTCTGACCTTCTGCCACGCGCCAAGCCCTGACGTACTGCACACCGTTCTCTCGGCCAGAAAAACATGCAGCAGTGCTCATTTCCATCAGACTGCTCTTGCTGATATTATGCTCAATGCTACCTTCTTTCAGAATGGAAGAATTCAGGACAAGCTTTTATTTCTGCGCATCTGAAAGTTTATTGTAAACTCTCAGAGCTCTGCTGTAGAAATTAATTACCCTTCCTCCTTATGTTTGAACTTCCCGGCCCAGTCGAAGCAGCATGTCTGTGCTGTTGTAGCTTATTCCTTCCCTTCTTTCTGAAGCAAAGACCTTGCTCCACCTTTTCCTATAGCATCCTACAGGTGTGACCCTGGCTCTCCTACTCAGCGTTGTCTCATGGTGGAAGTCTTTGCTTCACTATGAATGCTTTCTTCTTCCCCACAGGATGAAAGCACACCTAA